TAAGTAGAAAAATCGTTCTGAAATCATACTCCCATTTTTGCTACTTATCACAAATAACTGCTATAATATTCATTCTTTCTTAAGTACCTTGGTTAATTAAGCATGGAATCATTTGAGTCAAATAACCAAAGGGAATAAAATAATATATCAGTTAAATGAGGTTCATCTATGATTTTTTACAAAAAAAATCTATCCTGACTTGTGATATTAAATAATTTGGCATTTGAAGGTGGGGATATTTTACTTAAAAGAAGACAGAATAAGCCATGGAGTTGGAACCGTGGTGGTCAGATAGACTGGTAAATATGTTAATGTTAGAATACACTAAGTTCAGCAACTATTAAGGGATTCTCCATACATGTTTGCATCACTATTTTCTCAGTAAAAGCAAAGCTCCAAGTGATGGCCAAATCAGCATGACAAACTCGGCTGGCTAACTTTGGATCTCAATCATGCCGGGCAAGGCAACTTGCTTGCTTGAAATATAGTTAATCCCACTTGCAGAGGCCAACATTTAATAGCAGGCAAACTTGGCAGGTAGAAATTATAAATACATTTGAAACTTTCTAAGCTCAGTTTTCCCACCAGGGTTGCTGTGATTTTCAGGATAATTTAAAGCTAAGGCAGCAGGTCAGAAAATGAAACATGCAAGAGGTTAACAGAAATGACAGAATATTCCTTTCTCTTCAATCAATGAAGGGAGACGAATATACACATGCACACATATCCAAACATACATGCCAAATTACTTAGTATTTCTGACATTCTTACCAAAAATGGCATATAATAAATAGAAAGTCATTAATTTTTCAGATTTAGTTTCTAAATGATAAGACAACTTTATTTAAATGCAAAAGAATAAGAGAATTTCAGGTATCTGGATGGATAAGAACTTGTAGACATGGCATGCCTTTTATACAGCAGGTCAAACAAATTACTGATCAAGTAGTATGGTTTCATTTCAAGTGCAGACATAGACACAGAGGTTTCATCTTCCCATTGTATTACCAGCACTGACCTCAAAGTCCCTTCTGCAAAAATATGCCTTATGTAGCTACCTCATCAATAAACTTCCCCAGTTCACTGGGAAGGATATCAAAGAATCTTGCAGAGGAGATTCTGTAAAAACTACCTTTGATGCAAAATACTTTTGGTAAATATACTAGAAAAAGTGAAATAGTTGTGGATATATAAATTCCTCTTGTTTGATTTTCAACCCAGCCCACCACAGATGGAAAGAAATGAGAACTAAATGTGCTTTTTAATGAGTGATAGAAGGCAACTGCACAGGAAGGACAAACACACAAAATACTTAGAATTCAGCATAGTATTCTTATATGGTCAGTGGGAAAAGATGATCAGGAAATGAATGCTAAGGTCCATGGAATGACAGAGGGTCACTTTCAAGAGACCATTCTATATTAGGACTTCCTGTATAACAGCTGACAACATGCTCCTTTAGCTGGAAGTATTAAGCTATTATAAGAAGCTAATATTAAGAAGAAACTGAGAAATATTTTACTGTCACAAAATAAAACAGTGCCATTAAGGGCACACAAGGATACAGAGATCCTGAAATAGGCAGAACAAAAGGAAGAAGAGAGTCTCTCAGAACAGGAAAGCAAGAAGCATTTTGTTTCCTTCAAAGGAGCTAGAACAAGACAAAAGCAGGAAGTACTGTCTTTCCTTCATCCTGCCAGATTCTCAATGGAAAATCAAGGATGCTCATCAATTATGATAAGGGGAAAAACTAACTGAATGTTACCTCTGTTAATTTTTGAAAGAAACATATAAAAAAGTATGACATGTTCTTCATTTTGTTCTTCCAGAGTCAACATGTGTACACTTTGAAGTAAGACCCACTGGAGTAGGCCTGTGCACGCCAAACATGACCTCCCTTTAAACTTCCTTTGTGGTTCATTCTACTTTGTATTCAAGGCCGACATTTGGGTTGGAAAAAGCATATCATCCCACATTTCTCCAAAACAGACTCTGGGTCCACATTACTTAGGTGACTGAGAGACTCCAAGGCCCTAGCTTTGCTGTGGTTACAAGGAATATTCCACATATTTGGAGTTAAGAGAGAAATATTTTAAAAGAGCCTAGAATATTTGCCAGATAAATCTAAGACACTGGATACTAACCACACATATTCTAAATTTTGTAAAGAAATAAAAACAATGAGGATGCTGTTTTTACATGTATCATATAATAGTCATATAATTAATTGAATATGCTCCCTGATGAGTTCAGTCTATGATGTCACTTTCTGGGACTGAAATCAAATTTCTTTAAATTATGTTAAATGATAGTAAAATAATATATACAGGCTTCCTGTCTAATGGATTTGGTTGGTTATAAAAAATCTTATTGTAATTCAGTATTTGTATGACAGAATACATTTTAATAAATTTTCAAAATAGTGGTTAGTATCAGGCAAGGGTGCATAAATTTATTTATCCATAAAGAACCTAACGTATAGCATTTTGTTTATAGTGCTACATAGTGGTGCTGTGCCAGATGAAATAATCTGAGCTAACACACAATTTGTTAGAAATGATGTTAACAGCATTGTTACCTCTTTTAATTCTCTTAACAATATTATGATGCAGATGAAGAAATTAAGTTTCAATCCTGTGCTGAGATCTGTCCTAGAATCTAGCATCATTTTGTTTTCTTTTGTTTTGGGGTCAATCCAACTATAGTCAGAGCTTACTACTGGTATTGCACTCAGGGATCACTCCTGGCATGCATGAGGGGCCCTATGGGGTGCCAGTAATCAAACTCTCCCTACCCAAGTGCCAGGCAAGCCACCCTATCCCTTCAGCCCATAGCTTCATAAACTGTGGGTTGAGAATATGGGGGTCCTGTAACTAAATGTGGGGGGGTTTTGAATACATCTTAAATATTTTTCTAAAAATACTATGATTTATTGTAAGTTTGATTTGCACAGTTATTTTATAGAACCTATTTTAGTCAGTGTTGTATAAAAATTTATTGGGTGAAAGGGATCACAGGTAGAAAAACTTTAGGAAGCCCTGCTCTATATAACATACCAGTCAGTAGTGAATACTGAGGTTGACTACAGTGTTAAACTTTAGCAATACTTGAGTTAAGAAACCTAGGACTCTATTTTTCTTTATTATTTGGACATGATATCCAATGATACTCTATGTTTGGGGGTGAATTGGACCATACCTGGCTATGCTCATGGTTTACTACTGGCTACATGTTTGGGGATCACTCCTGGGGATGCTCAAGTGATCTATAGGGTCAGAGACTGATTAGGTTTGGCTATGGTCAAGGTGAATACCTTACATTCTCTGACACTTAAACGTGTTTTTTCACTAGTACTTCAATCACTAATGAACAGAGTAAGGCTACATTTTAATCCATGCATTAATTCCACCGATCCGATAACATTTATGGTGTTCTAAGCTTTCTCTTTTCTACGCTAATTATTCTTAATTTTTAAACCAACTCTGTTCTGATGATATAACTCTGTGTCTAATATAGACCATTGTTTCTGTACCCTTCCTTTCCTGCCATGGCTTCCCATGGAAAATCCCAGGAACTCATAGAAAGCGACATAGACCCCAGTTGAGAAACACTTGTAAAGTCTATATGTGCCTGTGCCATTTCTTTATTTTTAGGTATCACTTCTGGCAATGCTTGGGGAACATATGGGAAATGGGGTGCTAGGGATAGAACACATTTGACCATGTCAAGTGCCCTACCCACTGCATTATCCCTCCATCCCTACCTGTGTTATATTTTGTACATATGACATATATGTGTAAAACATATGTATGAATATACATATTCAAAAGAAATAAAGTTTAAAAGAATAGAAAATCTAAAACCCTTTAATCACATAATTTTTTTTGCTCTTCTCAATAAAAATATTTTGAATTTTGCTGTCAAAAAATAGGTAGTTCAAAAATAAAATATTCACTGTAAAAACAATAAGAACATTGAAAATTCTCATACCTCCCAACTTTATGGGTAAATATCCTTCTAGTTTTATTTTTGTTGTTTTCTAAAAGTTTTGAATATAATTTGATGACACCGTATTATCATTTATATCCTAATTTGTAATTTAACATACTATAAATATAGTCTGCTTTTATGACTTATTCAAAAAAGTCATATACATACTTATTGCATATCTGTGAGGAATTATCGGTTATTTAACAAATACCTCTATAATATCCAATATAACACCTCAATAAATATAACTTGAGATAAAATGAAAGTACATTTGTTTTTTAGAACTCTGATGACACTTTTAGACGAATTACTAGAACTATAGTGTCTACTTCAAAGAGCATGCACTTTAACCCCTGGTCTTACTCAGGAGTTATTCCTGTTTTTGTGCTCTGGAGAGACCCCTAAAAGTGCTCAGGGACCCAAACATGGAGCTGGAACCAAGAGGACCAAATATTATACAATGCAGGTGCCTTTTTGCCTATTCTCTTTGCCCGCTCTGATAGCATACATTTTTAATAGGATTTTTAAAATTTTCTTGCTCAAATGCCTTTCCCAGCCAAGATTATGTTACATTCCTTTGTTATATATTACTGTAGCACTCTGCAGTTTCCTTTCACAATCTTTATCATCATTTTGGGTAATTGGTTATATTTTTTTATCACCGTTTAGACTGTAAACTAAGCTAGGGCCATGAACATTTTCGCTGACTGTTTTAAAGGGGGGTCTAGCAAAACACATACACATCTCTATTTATTTAGTTGGATATTATGAAAGTGCCTTGAAAGGGAGCTTAAATTTGTACCCAAGACATACCACTGCATATATCCAACTTCCTGTATCAACATCCTAAAACTGTTATTTCGCAAATGCGCCAAAACACTCTTGTTCTGATTCAATTTTTGCTACAAATAAAGCCTGTGATTTAGAACTCATTTCTCAGCTATTACGAATTCACTGAGTGCAGTAAACTGTGCATTGAACATTCAGTGAGACTGTGCTGTGAACATTACCAGCTCTCGGGGCAGGAAAGTTCCTTCTTGCCGGGCAATGACCAGTGATGCTATCTCTCCCTGCTTGGTACTCCTCAGCATGGCCACAAGTTCTTCCTGAGTTTGTCCAGTGACATCTCTACCATTTACCTGATAAATACAATCGAAAAAATAGTCACAATGGAGTCTAGCATCTCCAGATACATAACTTGGGGGATGTTAGCAGCATATAGAATCAATGAAGTTCTGGAAAGATGAAAACAGAATGCATGGGCTGCCATTTTCAAATACCAGTAACACATAACTATCATTCCTGTGCTGCTAGATTATCTCAGATAGTAGTCTTAGCAGATTTACTAAGACATTATATCCATCTTCCTTCCTTCCTTCCTTCCTTCCTTCCTTCCTTCCTTCCTTCCTTCCTTCCTTCCTTCCTCCCTCCCTCCCTCCCTCCCTCCCTCCCTCCCTCCTTCCTTTCCTTCCTTCCTTCCTTCTCCTCCACTTTCTCTTCGTCCTCTACTTCTTCCTCTCCCTCCTCTACTTTTACTTTTGTTGGATTTTGGGCCAGACCCTGTAGTTCTCAGGGCTTACTCCTGGCTCTGTATTTAAGAATCACATGTGGTACCAGGGTTCAGAATGAGGCTGGCTGCATGTAAGGTGAGTTCCTAAACCCCTGTGCTATCTTTCTGGCCCAACAATTTATCTTATGCTGCATTCCACAAAGTTTTCATGTGTAGAAAATTGCAGTCACCATATTATCAGAAAAGACTGGAAATTCTACTAATTAGAAGCTGTATTAGTCGTTCTGTGCATGTTCTTCACAATAAAATTGACAACCCAAGTAACAGCATTGCTTCTCTGTCCTGAGATAGTTAAATGCAACTAGTGTCAATGAAGACACTTTCTTAGAAAGCAGTTGGGATAGAGAAGGGACTACTATAACAATGATATTTGGAAATGATCACTCTGGATAGGAACTGTGTGCTGAAAGTAGGTAAAGAAATAAACATGATAACCTCTCACTACCTATATTGCAAACCATAAGTCCCGAAAAAGGAGAGAGAGAGAAAAAAAGAAGATAAGCCTCTGCCGTAGAGGCAAGGTTATGGGAGGGGGTTGGCAGAATGGAAATCTGGGACAATGATGGTAGGAAATGTAAACTAGTAAAAGAATGGGTGTTGGAACATTGCATGACTGAAACTCAACCATGAATATCTTTTTAACTGCATCTCACTGTGATTCTCATAATAAAAGATAAAAAGGAAACAAAGGCTAGGGAGGGGTGGGGGGATATGGGAGCGAACCTGGAAACACTAGTAAGGAGAAGTTGACACTGGTGGTAGGATTAGTGCTGAAATATTGTATGTCTAAAACTCAGCTATGAATAACTTTGTACATTACGATGCTTTAACAAAAAAAACCTGTGCTAATAAAAAAAGGAAAATAAAAGTAAAAGAAAATGGAGGTGACAAATTTATTTAGCCACCCTCCAAAAAAAAAAGAATGATTCTATTATGTAAAAACTCGATTTGCTCGAGCGGGCCCAGTAACGTCTCCATTGGATAGTCACAAAATTACAAAATCCTTTTGTTTGGTGCATTATAAATATTTCTCGATGGTCAGATCAATCCGGTATAGTATAGACTGGCCCATTCTGGTGAGATGTCTGAAAGACAGTCACCAGGCTTGCTTTTTACCCTTGAACACGCATCTCATTACTGTCTCTTTCCTTGCTTGTGTCTTCCACTCAGAGAAGCCTGTGCTCTCTCGGGTAAACATGCTTCCTCTCTTTTTCTCCTCTCTGTATCTTTCTGTAAGCTTCATTCAGTAAAAACTACCTTGCTTCGCTAAAAATAAATAAATAAATAAATAGATAAATAAATAAATAAATACTAAGTGAAAAAACTGTGATGAATGTTTGGGGCTGTCTTTGAAGTTCTTATCGCTAATTGACCAGAACCTGTAGATTCCTTCCAAATTCCCTAAGGATACTTAGAGGTGGACAGAAGATAAGAGATAGCAGGGAAAGTGTGACTTGTCACCATTATCTGTGCTCTGTTTTGGGATTTTTAAAGTCACATCACTAGAGAGATAAAACAAATAGACCAAACAAAACAAAAACATACCCTGAGTTCTGACAAGGAAACTGAGGTTGCCAGATGGGTGGGAGGGAGTAAGGGCAGCTCAGTGGGCTGTGGTAGAGGATTATTGCTACGTTGGTGCTGAGCATGACATGTTATTATACAACTCAGAAAGTGTGAAATTGTTCTTCTAAGATACATAGTGTTGCAAACTAATGTTACCTCAATAAAAAATCATTTTGGGTTGGTTTGAGCAGTGCTCAAGACTTAATCCTGTCAAAGTATCACTCCTGGTGGTGCCTTGGGGGGATGGGATCAGATCAGGAGTGACAAAGATGAAACCCAGGTCAGCATGTGAAAACACAGGGACCAGTACAGGATAAAAGTATCTTTACTCCTATAATATCTCTCTAACCACCCCAAAGAATATTTCAAGTTAAATATTAATCAAAATAAACCAGATGATACAGTCATTACAGTCGTAAGTATTTATCTGGAAAAAAAAATAAAATAGGGGCCTAAATGACAGTGAAGTGGGATGGGCTCTTGCCTTGCATGTGACTGACCTGGATTTGATCCCCAACACCCTGTATGCTCCTCCAAATCAGTCAGGAGTAAGCTCTGCCCACTGCCAGGTGTGACCCCGAAACTCAAAAGAAAAAGAAATAAAATATCCATAAAGTTTATATAGTGTCTACAAGAATAAATAAACTGTGCTATATGAATACAGCGCAATATGACTGAACAAAACAAACAAAAAAGCAAGTCAGGCTGCTAATTAACTGTTTTGTAATGAAAATCCTTATCAATTCTCAAGTGAAACTTCTAATATATAGATGGTATTTAAATTTTAATATATTTGTTTACATACTTATTTAAACACTAATATTTTATTTAAACATTAATTATAGTTTTTTGGGTAAATTTACTGTCTACAATAATTTTTAAATGTACATTTCAATGGTATCAATCACGTTTATATTAAATTTCAATTCTCACCTCCAAAATTCTGTCCCCTGATTGCAGGCGGCCATCTTTTATTGCTGCACCTTTTGGCAAAATGTTTTTTACAAAAATAGGGCCAGGTCCATGTATAGAAGAGTCTCTTGTAACTACTGTGAAACCAAGTCCTTCAGGGCCTAATATATAAGAGGAGAAAAACACATGGTTACCTTAAGCAGGAATAATACTATATTCAATTTTCCCATGAACTGTACCTTAGACTAATATAGTAAAATAGAAATATTTACATTTTAGAATACATTTATAATATATTTCTGTCATTATAATTTCAGATACAAGTTATAGATTACGATACACCATGATGGTATCCAAGTGAAATGCACAGACTACACACATCTCTGTGTAGCAATACTTTGATTATTGAGGTCCTAGCCACATGAAGAAAAGTCACATGTTCTTCATATAATCAAGAGAATCATTTCTCAGAAAGTCATAATATGACTTCATACTTTTACTTTTAGTGCTTTACAGAAGCAAAAGACCATCTGACATGAGTTTTGTCAGATTCTAATTAGCTAGTGAATTTATAACTTCCTTATCTTCTAGTGCCTTTATTCCTTACAGGCTGTGCGCCAGAGTCCCTTGCTCATTTCAATGCCTTGTCTTATGCATCTTAACTTATACTCTTCAGTATAATTTTTACTCTTTGAAGGGATGCTCCACTTCTCTACCCTGAAGAGTCTCTAATTCTGTCTTATTGCTTCTACAATTTTCTAATCTATCAACAAAGATCTATCCATGGCCACAGTCAGTAATTTTTTCTGTTCCAGGTCTTTTCCCATTACTAGATTTGATAATTTTCAACAACCATTTATTTATTTTATGACTATTTTCTTTCTGTTGACACCTGTCTTTCCCTCTTTTTTACCTACTCTCTACTACAAAACCATAGATTTCCCCAAGGACTGATTCTGAATCCACCATTCTGCTTTCTCACCATCTCCCAGTAAAAGGAACCCTAATCTCCTTGACCCTAATCTTCTTGGTGTCAGTTCCTAGATATCAACACACATACACACACATATTTTCACAAGCATTTCAAACTTCACTATGAACCATTCTCTCCACTTCATATTTGGACTTTTTCAAATATATTCATCTACATAAAATCCTAATCTTTAGTGAACGTATCTACTGTGCAAGTTGTTTTGGGTGAGGAAAAAAATAAGCAGCAATTCCACTTTCTCTTCCATTCTTCATCTAGTAATAGTTGAAGCATGCATATTATATTAGACAGATGCGATACACCATTTGTTGATCCTTGATTGTTTTTTTCTATATCTACTGTCAGATTAATCTTCCCCAATAGCATTATGATACTGTATTCTTTATTTTCACATTCAATGTTTTCTTATAAAAATTTCATAGCAATGTTCTGTTTGATTCCTCTATCCCAAAAGCACCCAGTGCTATGACTTATGCATATATGGACAATTTGAAGCAATGGACTTTTGCTAAGTGTGTTGGACTATCTGTACTGCATAGTTAATACATTTTATTCCCACTTTTGATATGAATAATGAAAATTTGATCAAAAGGTCTTTTTCAAATTTTTTTTGGATAAAGTTTTGAAAATCACATAGGACTGTAAAAGATTACAGCATGAGAATTCTGCTCTTACCAGAAAAATTTGAAAGAAGGAAAGACAGTTATAAACACCTATGCCTTTTATTAATATACATTATGTTGCATACATATCCATATGTACAATGATTTTTGTTTCATATATGCTTAAAATGGATAGAATTTTTTACAATTTCTTGACTTAGCTCAATTAATAATTATCACATATTTGTTTTCTGTGGAAAATACTTTTCTGGCCTGAAACTATGTTAGAGAATCAGAAACAGTCTATTGGCTTCTTAGACTTTTTCTACAGAATACTTTGAAAATCAGTAAGACCAAAAAAACCTAAATTTTAGTGACTATTATTACAGTGCTATACAGTATTCAGTTTCTAACAAGGGTACAACAATTCTACATTTCCCAATATGTTTCCATTGGTTTGATTTATTTTTTAAACCTACACTCTCCAGAAGAATAAAGAAATACTACAATTGAAAGAAATTTAAGTTATTTAAGTATACACTTAAATCTATTCTTTGATACAATTAGATAAAGGGAGAATTAACAAAATTAGCCTTAATGCATTTCCCTTAACCAATTTTCCATGTTTCAATGATATAATGCTATTAAACATAATTTAGTAATTACCTTTCTTTAGGTCAATCTTAATTTTCTTAGCATTTTTCTTGCTTCCAAACCCCATGAGAGGAGACAGTGATGGGGAGGCTAGCTTTCTAGGGATTCTTGGTACGCGGGGGCTCTTGCTCTGTTGCAGGGAAGTTGAAATATCTTCTTCAGGACTGCTTGTTCCCGGCTTTATTCCTGGTTTTCCATGAGCAGCGGTAGGTGGCAACTGTGTTTTTAAAGCACCATCATTGTTCCCAACCAAGCTAAGAGTGCCGATGACTGATTTTTCATACTGTTTTCGGTTGTGAGGTGGTAGCACGTGGAGGAGCATGCTGGGTGATCTCATTGCCTGCCGGAAAACTTCCTGAGCCCTTGGGGGAGAGCGAGGATAGAGAGTCAGTCCACTGCAAAGAGTCAGACACCACATTTTATCAGGGGTCGAAAGCAGTGTCTCATATCTGGGCCAATATGCCCCTTCTTGGGACCCGAGGATATTCCAACAAGATCACAGGTGAAAATCACACAAATGGGGCACAGTGTCCTGAGACTAGGTAGCCAACTAGAAGAACACAGTATCCATGGGAAGAAAATAAAATTGTAAGATGGTCTAGGTTAAAATAACATTGAAAGACACTAGTCTAAAGTACCCTATATCAGGGTAACAGCCTAGTAGCATAAGCACAGAAACTCTTCTTTGATTCCCTGAGTGCATTGCTAAATGAATAATGGCTATACTTCTGGCCTGTCCATTATGTGCCCTCGCACTGGACTATCTATCATTATTAATATGGGAGATGTTCTTGGATAACTTTTTCAGCATTCCACATACTAGTCAGATAGAGCAGTGGGTAGGGCATTTGCCTTGTATGTGGTCAACTCAGGTTTGCCCCTTGGCGCCCCATATGTTACCCCTAGCTCAGAGCCAGGGGTAAGGCATGAGCAGGGCTAGGTGTGTCCTCCGCCTCCAAACTCCGCCACCAAAAACAACCTTTCTTAGCAATACTGCCAGAAAAGCATGATTGAGTCTTTTTCAAAATGAGCAAACAGAATCTCACAAAGCTTGAGCAACTTGTCCAATGACTTAAGTATTTCTGAAACTGAATATCTCTCCAGAAGTGATAATGGAGAAAACAGAAAAGTAAACTTTTACTTTAGATGACAAACAAGCATTTTGTAATCTAATTCACATTATCAATTAGTTTCCTTTTGGTACTTTATTCAAAGTAGCAGGAGGTTATTTCTTATAGGAGCTGTATTTTTAGAAGTTTCTTGTCTGACACAAATATTTCCTCATGGAGAAGTATTCAGAGGTTGGACTGTATTGAGTATCACACTGGGATAAACCTCCATGCTGCGCTCTCCTTTTATTCCACTGTAGAGCACAAGCTTCTTTGAATGTTTGGTTCTAGTGTTTTGGGTTTGCTCTCTCATTCCCAGTTAACATTACCTCAACAGTACGACTGGGTACAAGAATTCCCATTCCTGCCAGTGTGACTTAAGAAGTTAAAAATAAAACAAACAAAAGAAAATACTTTTGGGGGGGCAGGCATGTTTTTGTTATCTTGTTTCTTCCAATTTGTTAAAATTCAAAACTGTTGGAAGTAAGACCAACCTGCCCTGCAGTCATGAAGCAACTCAAGGACAGTAATCATATAGCAAAAGCCCTCAGAGAGGAAATGCCTGGTCTGCCGAGAGCCACTGATCCACTCTGTCGACTCTGAACTACTCCTTCTACACAAATTTTCCCTTAAAAAATAAAAAAAAGCATAAACTGTTGTCTAGTTAACCTGGCTTTATTTTCCGTCTCAGAGACCACCTCACTTTACCAAAGAGGTCAATGGCGTGCATTGTGAGGACATAGCCAAGCTTATCTGCTCAGTTCCTACTGCACATAATCCCATAATGAGTTTTGATAAGCCTCCATTCCCAACTACATAAAATAAGGATAATATCTGCTATGCATGCCTATCAAGTCTTTATTAAAAGAATATTAAGATAGTGATATAGGAAGTATTAATAATAATTCTGATTGCTATAATTTTAAAAACTAGACCCTTAAGACCATTTTTTCCACACTTAAACAGCCAGTGTCTACGGACACTTTGCTCTTGGCCCACACATGCCTGCCACAAACACACCACGGATATCACAAGATCACTGACTGTCACAGAGAAAAAAAAAAAATATATATATATATATATAATGGATGCCATCAGTTAGAAATAGTGGCTGGTTGTTACTAACTAATGGGTACTTGTATTTACTCTTTTGTTTGGAAACCCCATAGCAATGTAAACTTACATTTTAAACAATATACATTTTGCAGACTTCTAAATGCACTGATCCTTAGGTACAAGAATCTCTTCCCTTGACGTTTTCACATGTGAATAAATGATTTCTGGAGGGAGAGTGTGCTAATTTTTTTTCCATTTGTTTTTATTATCCAGTGAATCCTTATGGATGTCTCTGACAGATATTTAGATCAAGGAAGACTGCTGACACCAAGTAAGTTAATTAATAAGCTGAGTTAACGGTCTGTGAAAAGAGCCATTAAATACCAGTCTAACTGACCCATATCCCAAGAAAAACAAACCCGTCTCTAGATGCCCTAGAAAGACAGCCAGGCAGGAAGGCTTGCTATATTCTGTGACTAACCATGCTCTGGGCGGCCAGAAACATGTGCGGACCATGCTGGATCATGCAGAAACAAAAGATGCGTTTGAAAATGAGTGTCTTGAGGTCATTCAAAGGGAATAGATGCAGAATTCTAGCTGTGCTTTTAGTCATAACAAGCTCAATAATGATCATAAGCATTTAATGGATCAATAAAGTAAATAAACAATAAAGATGTGCTTACTGAGTAAAGGATTTGTCTACGAGGTCCACATTGTTGATTTTTATAATACATTCATTTTCATGAAACAGTCCATCCCTCTTGGATCTGCTGTTTTCTTCAATACCACGGATGAAGAGTCCTAGAATTCTAAACAAAAAGTTTAGGTAGAACTAGAATTCCTGAATCATGATATGCTAATTATTCCTGCATGTAACTATTCAGAAATGAGTACTGATTTCTACTTATGAGAGAAAGTATTCTTTTAAATAAATTTAGACAGCTGATTGTTTATTTGTTTTAGGTAAAAGAGTTCTATTAGAGAACTATCACTATTTCATTCTCTCTTTCATCCTGTTGTTCGTTGATTTACTTGAGCGGGCGTCAGTAACGTCTCTATTCGTCCCAGCCCTGAGATTTTAGCAGCCTTTCTTTACTCATCTTTCCCAACGATTGGAGGTTCTTTCAGGGTCAGGAGAATGAGACCTGTTATAGTTACTGGTTTTGGCATATCGAATATGACACGGGGAGCTTGCCAGGCTCTGCCTGTGCGGGCGGTAGCTTGCCAGGCTCTCCGAGAGGCATAATATATATATATATATATATATATATATATATATATATATATATATATATATATATAATTTGTTGCCTACTTTCTGAAATACATCAAACATGGTGTGGTAATTATGGAGAATGGGTAAGGAAGTGTCTTATGACTTATAACAGCAGCCTGGAGCATGGCGGCGGTTGGGTAGTGGAGGTTGGCTGCTGGGGCTGGGTCCCTTGGGGCTGGGAGGGCTCTTGCCCACCCCGCTCTGGGGTGCCCCGAGTGAAAACAGCCTGGTGTGGAGAATTTCTCTAATTCTTTGCCGAATTAGAGAAATATACATGAACAAAACCCCAGGAAACCTTAATCCAAAAATCCCATTTCTCAAGTGCCATAAACTTAGAGAAGGTCAGTGTCACTTATGGTGTTGTGAACACAAAAGAGAGGCTTTGGAGGAAGGCATCAAAACTAAAATGTAAGTTCAAGTTAGTGTTAAGGGCCAAGTAATGTTGAGTAATGGGAGAGGATTAGGTATTCACTGTAATATTTTACAGCTTCACTACCTATTTCAGTAATTAACATTTTAAGAAGAAAACACTCATAAGTACAGATCTCAGTTTAGAAGGCAGCCCAGTCCTGTCTGTTAGTATTCCTCAATCAAGTATGGGCCAAGTGTTTTCCAAGTATGAAACATGGAAGAATAGGAGACAATACTGCAGGGTTAGAAAGAACAACTGGCATTGGCTTGGTGTACAGTAGAAATATGAAAAAAGTAGAGCCTTCAGTCTCTAAGCCTGGAAGGACTGGAGAATATTAGGATGCCAAGCAGAGCGGAAGACGGACGAGCATATAGATAGGGAGAGAGACCAGGCAGAGCAGGAGGGCTGATTCTTTTTGTGAAGGTTGGGGTCTGTCCTCAGACCCTTGCAGGGAGCCAACTCAGAATGGGAGCCAGCTACAGTGCTACAGTGTGTCCATTAGCAGATGGACTTAATCTGATGAGGTTGGAATAGTCCCCCCACCCACCCACATCTGCTTCTCAACTAGGCAGGGGCATGATGAGGGCAAGATGTCGTCCGGTTGTCTGAAATTTCAAATAAAGAAAATTTGGATTCAGAGAGAACATCCAGGGACATCCTGTGCTTTGTGACTATGACACTGAATAAGGAGGGGTCGACTTGGGAAACAAAAGGAAGGAAGAAATAAAATAACAGTAATAAAATAAGATCTTAAAGAGTATACATTACATGTTGGTAGATCTAAATAAAAATGGAAAAGAAATAAAATGTGCATCGTTTACTAATTTGTCCCTTGAGCGCTTTGTACCCATCTCTGTAATCTGTTATCTGTAATCTGTTATGGTCCCACCCAGAGGAAGAAAGACAGATTTTTCTCCAAGGAGAATCTAGTGGGTGTTGTGAAACTTCCATACACTACTTTTATACTTTGCTTTTCAACTCTGTCATTCTCTTCAATATAAGGCCATGTGTAAGAGCCCCTGTAGCAAGTCTCAAACTAAACAAAATATGGGCATATTTATACATGACTAATAGGGTTGGTTATAATGGATGAAAGGGTGATCTCAAAAGAAAGTGCTCTGGAAACTATCGGAAAAATGGAATCTCTGCCTTATGGGCCTGGTTCCTTGAATTTGTTTCCATCATCTCCAGACAGCTTAAGGAAAGGCACATTTAGATTTTGGCGTCACAAATGATCAATGATTGCAGTCTGATGATGCAAGAGAGAGAAGAGTGAAAAGTCATGTCATCTATTTAGGGGAGGCTGGAGTCATGGGTGCAAACATGTGGTGAGGTACTGTACTCCTTTCCCAACTTCTAGCAGGTTAGTAAGTATGCCACTCTCTGTATGAAGAGGAATGGGGCCCAAACTACAATTTGATAAAGGATCTGAGATTCAAATCAATAATTTCACACTGCTAATCCTACCTTAATCTTGTAACATAATATTAAAAATGGAACAACATGACATGAAAAAAGAGAAAAAAGCCAGCTAGGACACAAATATGTTCCTTTCCTAAATTAAATGAATCTCTAATAGTTCACATTTTGGATTTTTTGTTATGGTGGAATCACAATAACATGATCCATTAAGAGGCTCACATGTGGTTATAAACTAGTTTATGTAAGCGATATTTTTTTAACAAGCATTCAAGTCTTCCTTTAATTTAATTCAGTACATCATCAGTCCTGTAATGTTACTCCCTAGGATTTAATTTCACATTTTGGGAGATGAATTAATTCTTTCAGGCCACTAGGTTGCAATTTAGCTGGCATATTACAGCTGGAGTATGCTATGTGAACCTCACTGATCTAAATAACCTAACTTTCCATGAAAAATTTATTGACAGAATAAGCCCAACTGTAAAACCCATGTGTCAGAGGTAATTTTGGTTAAAATGTAAAACTGACTGATTTTATTAGTTTGGTCCCTGGCAACAAACGACTCTTGGCCTCTCTATTCCAAGAAAGAGATGGATTCCTTCCAGTTTGATTTCTTCCAGACTAGTATGAGAGGGTTCAGATAAAAGGGTATCTTTTCATATCACTTTGTACCAAACTGGTAGGCTGTCCCGTCTGGACAAGAATCTGAGAAATTAAAAAATGAATGTTCTAGTTAGAATTGAGAGGAGCCAGTCAATTTGCATTAACGAGAAGTGATAAAGGGTGAAAATCCATTGTCACCCCTTCCCATCAGAATGGTGACACTAGCTTTTTGCTCTTCTAATGCTTTTCTAATAATCACTTCTTTTTCTTCTTATTCCTTTTAATTCTTCCAGTTGTATCACTTTGTCACTGTACTAGCTTAGTATGTTTGTATAAAAAATTATTCAATTTAAATGAATGAATAAAATTTTAAAAAATACAAATGAAATGGAATGGCTATAAATATGCAGAGGCTTGGCTGTTTCATCTACTTGTGGTTCTACAAAATATACATGAAACAGCCATGAAATATGTTGTTTACGTGGCGGGTCACATAAACAGCATTTGGCACACTGTGGTGGAGTAGCGAATGAATTCACTGAGGCTTTATCTCTTGCAATAACTACGATGTTATACCCAGGGAATTCTAACTTAGATTGGATTTCTTATTCACCAACAGGTGCTGCACAATTTTTCTAGGGGAAAACAAATAAAGAAGCTGGAGGTAAAGCCAATTACAGTAGTCCTAGTCAAGAATTAAATGTAAATTCTAATTTAAAATAATGACACAAACCAATAAATAGAAGGAAATTAAGAACTAAGTATATACATACACCACAATGACCTTACTTCACCACCCCCTCTTTCCAGTGCTCACAAGGAAAGCCATATGGCATTATGAAGTCAGACACTTGTCTGACACGCTCTATGTGCAGTTGTATCTAGACACATGGGTTGAGTTAAGTGTGCTGTTTCAGCCTGTAGTCATTACTTCTTAACTTTTATTGGCTCGTGTCCCCACTTCCATATTATTTTTAATGTCTTTTAATTAAATTTCCTTTTTATAATACTAGTGGATAACAAAAAATAATTATACAACTATTTCACCAAGTTACTGAATGGTTGGCTATGGATTTATAAAATCGTACTTGTGAAACAAATTTTTGAGTTTAGTCATACTTATAATAATAATAGATAATAATAATTTACAAATCATACATCACATTTTTTCATGGAATATGTACTTTTTAATGCCGCTTAATCCCCATAAATTTGTTATGATATAGGTGTTTAATCATAATAGGAGAGTTCAGGGGACTTGGTCAAGCTTGAAAAAAGAGACTGCTGCAATTCAAATCCAATTGTTTTGAACACAAGTCCAAGACTCATTCTACTCTTCTACGAGGCTTTAGCCAGAAATCAGAAGCAAGAAGGAGAGAGAGGAAATCAATAAATTCTAGTGTGTTTCTCTCATTTGAAGCAAGAGAAGGTGATTTCTAGTCTATAGGGTCAACTTGTTTCCTGAACTATTGAAAATGAACTTTGGGTGATTGTCACATTGTATATTTCTTCATGCTTTGGAAATGGGGATGATCTTGTGTTCTATTCCAGCTTCATTAAACTAAAGGACTTGGTAATTTATCTGCTCTGGTATTTCACAAAACTCTATCAGTACACTCTGCCAAAACCCATTAGGATTTCTTGTGACAACTGGGTAAATACTCACCCTGTCTATCAAAAACAACCTCAGCTTGTCCTATGCCATAACCCATAACATTTATAAACATGCTTATTAACACATACAGGAAATGAGACAATAAAAGCCAGCGGCTTTTCAGTTCAATTCTTTATAGGGAAAATTCATTCAAGCAAAAGCTTGGCATCAGATGTTACTGCAAAAAAAGGTGATGACTTTGCAATTACAGGTAGCAGATGGCTACCTGCTGAAAATGGTGCCAACCAAAATATCATGACTAAATCTGCTTTTCCTGTGGTATGGCAGACTGAATTAAATAAATATTCAGGATCAGTAAATTAATTTTATATGACCTTTGGGAAAATTTCTGTTCTAGAAATAGCAATAGGGTGAGGGCAAATCAGAAGACCCAAATTTGATGTGATTTTGAGAAAATCAATTGACATTTCTGGTCTTTGAACTTCTAAACTAAACTAAGTTATTCTGCCTTATCCATGATGCATTTAAGAAAAATATAATTTATCAAATTTATTAAAATTATGTCATGGGGGGCTGGAGCAATAGCACAGCGGGTAGGGTGTTTGCCTTGCACACTGCTGACCGGGTTTCGATTCTCACCATCCCATATGGTCCCCTGAGCACTGCAAGGAGTAATTCTTGAGTACAGATCCAGGAGTAACCCCTGTAAATCACCAGGTGTGACCCCACAATCGGAAAAAATAAAAATAAAAATAAATTATGTCATGGGAAAATCTGATACCACTGAAAGTTTCTGATAGCCCTTGTCAACAACAGCCTAGTGCTAGGGACAAGTCACTGAAGAGTGATATACCACCTTATTCTAGTTTTGTTAAAGTTGCTGTGATAGCACTACTTTTACCTTCCAGGCTTACATTCTAATTTCCATCATAAAACAAGCTTTATACCCTCTTAGATAGATATGCATTTCAAAGAACGCTGATACAATCTAAATTACCCTAATCTGTGCGAAATTAGTAATTGTCTATAAACTTTCAAAAAGTTGTAAGAAATTCATTTTAACTGATTAATTAAAAATTCTAATCAAGGCACTATGATTTACAAAGTTATTCATGGTTGAGTTTCAGGCATACAATTTTCTGGAACCAATACCACCCAATGTAAAAAGAGCATTTTGCTACTATAGTAAAAATAATTATAATGAATATAATGATGTAGCTTATACAGTAAGAACATTATTCAATATCTGTATGCTAAGAAATATGAACAAGGGACAATTCTGAATTACCATATTCACTTGTTGAATTGTACTCGGGAATGTTAAAAATTTCAGCAGTCATATTTAACTAACAATTTATTAAAAGCTTCACAAGGAGTGCATAGCCTTCTTACTGTGTGTCACCAGTAAGAATACTTTAAGTACTTCATAGTATGAATACTTTAAAAGAGTACCTTATAATTAAGTGCAAAAGCAGAAACTTATTGATTTTTTCTTTCCCATTGCACCCTAAGAAGTAAATGATTTCATTTTGTTTCTAACACATAAGTGGCCAGTTGAGTAAACCTTAAGATGTCCATTTGAATAACAGCAATGCACAATTAATTCTCAGCTAAAAAATGTTTGTGAAAATAAGCTCGTCAAGTTTTTCATTTGCATGAGCTTCTGACACCAGAAAATCCTCTTACCTTCCACTCAGAGACGAAAAGAAGGGCACAACATGGATTCCCAAGGGACCTTCTTCCCCAGAAATCTCCACTGTTCTTGTCATATCACTGGGGCAGAAAAAATAAGAGCCCAGATGAGTCATTGCTTAAAATACAGATGTGGCCCATTAAAGAGAAACAATCTTAGATTTATCAACTACTGTAATGGAAACAGCGGAGATGAAATCAAAGAAATATACAATTTGCTGATACGTTCAGATCCAGGAAATAAAATATTTAAAAGACTGATTTCTCTTTTTCCCCCCTAGAAGAGGAATAAATGGAAATGACTACCTACAAAAATAGCTTCATACTTAACTTAATCTGCATAAATCAACATATTTAAAAGAGGTACACAAAAATGAAAATTTTCCCCATTGAGACACACTTGAAAAGTACTGTACAGATGATAAAATACATGGAATTAAGCGTATCTATGCTGAAGTATAAAGTAGGTTCTTCCTCCCACCAGGAGGAAAAGTGAAATAAAATCATATTTATTAGAAAAAACACAAATTTACATTTCACATCTGTAAAATTGCTGCCAGTAGTACATGAGGGAATATTCAGAGCATCATAAATCGAAACTTAAATGTGACTTTCTGTAAGGCCTGGGCTGAATTCAGTGGAGAAATCCAAATTTTCACCTTCTATTTTTTCCCCTCTTCAGAGGTAGAAAAAGAAGTTACAAAGTCTGGAGAAAATGCATTATAAAAAGAAATAGAAAGCTTGACCTGCCTAACCTATCTCGGATTAAGAACAGGATGAACTGAAATGTTAATGCATAGAATATATGACTGAAATATACAAGACATTGGAAGCCTTTGAGTAATAAAGAGTGGAACTAACACGTTTTTATAGAGATGTAAAATAATAGCCATGAACAATTACTAGGCCCTTTAGTCCTAGAGAGAAAAAATAAAATTGCCTGGGGAAAATTGATAAAGTCAAATCTTAAATCCTTGTTATGGAAATTGCAAGTATGTCTCTGTTGTTTCCTATTTACATGAAAATGACCTGAGACTGATGTCAAATTAAGAGCTATAGCTGCCTCAAATGTTTTTCTGCTACAAATTGAAAATGATGGAATTTTGGCTTCTTGCTGGAAAACTGAGAACAGCATCTAAGAAAGCAAACCACTTGATAAACTCACCCTGTGTGAAGCATTCTCCAAATTATCAGAATTCTAAAGTAAATATGTTAAATATATTCTCATCAGTGGATTGGGCTTATTTTTAGTGTGTTTTCATTGCAAACCTATTATCATTAAGATCTGGGGGAAAAAGCAGGTTAGTTTCCAACATTTGTGGAATGTGATGAAACTTCAAATCTGATAATAAATTTTAAATGAGTTTTACTCAAATATTAGTAATAAATTTAAAACATTCCTCCAAGCAGGTTATATCAAAATTCTGGAATGAAATAAATAAAACAAAAATCTTAGAGTAATGATGTCATAGGCAAAGTGGATTCTTGTCTATAGTTCTAGTGTGGGAACATAAATAAGTATTTATGAATATACAATATGAATTTTAAACCTTAAATATAAGATGTTTGGTGGAAAGAGAAAGCTGAATAGCTTTTAATGGTCCACAAACCAATACATTTTATATAATAGATTTATAGTACTTTCATAGGTATTTGAGGAAGACTAAACACAAAATAGTCACATTCTTGGGTTACAGGACTATTTTAAAGACTTTTAAAAACAAAGACTGGAATATTGTTTAAACATTCAACTTTATTATTATTATCTTTATAATGTATTTTTATAGTTTTGCACTTAAAGCATAACAAAAATCTTTCACTAAAAATGTGTTGAGTATCCGCATGCTGATAACACTCATATATAACATAACAGAGTCATATGGGACAGAAGTGTTTAGTCTAGTAGAGACTTAGAATTTCATCTTAAGAATTTTAGACTGACTTTTTATGACTGCTCATTTTTTCCTATTTTGCAAATATTTCTTTACCCACTCAAAATGTTTCCCGTAAGACACAATAAATTCCATATATCAAAACTATAGATAATTTTAGCAATTATCTATCTTATTTTATTAGTAAAATATCTTCTAATTTATTGAAATGATAAATATTACTTTAAAATACTAAAATTTGAACTGGAAAATAGTACAAAGGTTACCGTGATTGTCTTGCAAAGGGCTGACCTCAGATTGATCCTGAGCACCACATATAGTCCCCAGAGCACTGCCATGTATGATCCCTGAGCACAGTGTAAGGAGTAAGCTCTGAGCACAGCTGGTTGTGACTCCCCACAAAAAACAAAACAAACAAAGCACAAATACCCCCCCAAAATACTAAAACACTTTTGGGGATGGTGTTTTAAGGTTCATTTCTACATTTTAAGATTTTATTTTTAATATTTCTGAGTAAAAAAAAAAGTTATGCTTTCTCTATACATGACGGTCACAAAATTTTTTTGATATTTGATAACTGTTAAATTACTCTCAACATATTTTTATCCAAAAAGCATAAAATCCTGTAAATTTTTATTGTTAATGTAAACATCTATAGAGAATTAAATATATTGTAACAGAGACAAACCTTGCAAATTTTACAGACTATATTTAAGCATCCTCATTATAAAATACCCAATAGTTCTTTCAATATGGATAGAAAAGTATTTAATAAAAACATAATATACTGGTTCATATATTTTTAGTTTGTTTTAAAGGAAAAAGAAAATTCCTTAGCTATATATGTTTGATGAAAAGAAGTAAGTTACTTGTAGATATACTTCATAGAGTTACACTTAACTCAAATTTTAATAAGTGCTATTGATGCTGTTTAGGTAAAGTACAGAAAAGTGTTTGGGGTCCAAAGAGCAGAGTAGCACACAGAAATTCATGTATCAAAACTGGACTGAGAAAACTCTGACAACAAAGTGAGAAGACATTTTAGCAGGGAACAACAAAAGGAATTGGTAGCTATTTGTAAGAAACAGACCAAAATTCTGTTGTGGATTAAAACAAAAGTTTTAATTTCACTATAGTAAAACGGCTAACTTTTCACAACTTATTAAGATACTAAAACAAAAACAGTCATAAAACATTCAGTTTGTCAAGAGGGTAAGAGGGGACCTGGGAACATTGGTGGAGGCACACGGACACTTTTGTGGTGGATGCTGTGTTACAACACTGTATGCCTGAAACATTGCTATTAAGGATATTAGAAATCATGCTACTCAAATGAGAAATGGAAGAAAAACAACACTAGGTACAGTCACTAATATTAAACAAATTAAATGCCTAAGATCCAATTAACAAAATTGATTCAAATAATGTCTGGATCCAGCTTCTACCTAAGAGTTTAGCACAAAAGGCTGAGTGGAGGTGTAGAATCTATGGTCAAAATGAGCTTGTCATGAATAGCAATTCTGTAAAAACTAGATGGAAAGGGCTCATTAATTTTCTTCTTTCAGACAAGGAATAATGGATGGAATGTTTAATATTAAGATTATACAAGTTGAGGTCAGAGAGGTAACACAGAGACTAAGGTACATAACCACATTTAAAAAGAATTACAATGAAATGGGGCTGGAGTGATAGCACAGTAGGTAAGGCATTTGCCTTGCACGCAGCTAACATGTCCAACCTGAATTTAATTCCTCCGCCTCTCTCGGAGAGCTCCGCAAGCTACCGAGAGTATCTTGCCCGCACGACAAAGCCTGGCAAGCTACCCGTGGCCTATTCGATAGGGCAAACACAGTGACAAGTGTCACAATGTCACTGGGCCCGCTGGAGCAAATTGATAAACAACGGGAGGACAGTGACAGTGATCTAACAAAAAGTGTTCTTAAATAGGAATGGAATTAGTTTACTTCACTTTTAATCATCGAATATTTCAAAATTCCAATGATGAAGTTATAAAGGAAAAAATAAAGTCCAGTATTGACATAATATAATTTAGAAGGTAAGAAAAAAATGAATAATAACTCCAGAAAAGCAGTACATATTAGTTTAATTCACCATGGATATAAGGTATTTGGCAGAGATAGTTTTCTCTTTTTTCCTCTCTCCATTATTTGTTTTTGGTTTTGGGCCACACTGAGCAGGGCTTACTCCTGGCTCTGCATTCAGAGATCACTCCTGCTGAGAAGCACAGAACCACATTTGCTCTGGCGATCCAACATGGGTTGACTGAGTACAAGGCAAGCACCTTACCCACTGTACTATCTCTCAGACCCCAGAGATAACATTCTTTCTAATTGCTTTCTGGGCAATGTAAAATGACACAGTAATTTTACAAAGTAAATATATTTTTACTTTTAAAATAATATTTTAATTAAAAAACTCACAAAGTAAATATATCAACTCAATTTTATACACAAACAACATATTTTACAAATGAGAAATTTTACAGAAAAGAAAGGCCAAGTAGTTGATCCAACAGGATACCTTTTATAGAATGTAGCCTATACAAATGAGGTATAGTGAAAGTGGATTATGAAGGCTGGAGAACTGAGAATAGGCACATTGTTTCTCAAGGATGTTATATGTGGGTTAGAGCTGAAAAGGGTCAATGTATCTTTAAACATAAATGTTTCATGATGGGGCACAAGAGAGAATGTGTACTGAGACAGTACACCAGAATGACTTGTGGGTACATTGACAGGAATTAACATTCAAAGAGAAGGTTGAAGGAGGACTCTGTGGAGAGGAAAAAAAGAGAAGAAGGAGAAAATAGATGGGAAACAGAAGCAACAGAGAGAATGGTTAGAGGATAAAAAAGGGGAGAGGATGGAAAAGGGAAGGAAAGAAGGAAGAGAAAAGGAAAATTTAATCAGAGTCAGAGAGAGAGAGAGAGAGAGAGAGAGAGAGAGAGAGCATGCTAGTGAGGTGGGTATTAAGGTTAAACCATTAACTTGAAAACAAATCTCATTTTATTGGATCAAATTCAAAGCCAAAATAATAATTCCTAATTTTGTAGAAAACAGAGTTGCTACAAGTTTTGACATTAAGTATCCATGTTATAAATTTTCTGAAACAAAAATACAGATAAAACACTGATAGGTGAGATCAAATAGAAAAGAGGAAGAAGGTAAAAGCATTAGAAACTCATACAGGTGTTATTAATTTATTTCAATAATCAGAAAAAACTGAATTTATTCCATGAGTACAGGAGTAAAACATAAAAAATTAGAGGAAATTTCAAAATATTTTAAAATGGACTCTACAGTGAATTTCACAAATAGGTGACATAAGAATGGAGACAACAGGCTAAAACATGTCGGTAGTGTTAATTTTGCAAAATTAACACTAATTTTGTAAAAACAAGTCAGTTTGGAGAAGGCTAATTTGAAGATGATGCAACCCTCACCTTATCCTTAAAGTCCTCATGAAAGAGACAGATTTCTAAGGATAAGGTGAGGGTTGGTCACACACTTTGCAATTTACAGAAGGGCTTAATTAAATTTTTTTAATCCCATAAACAGCTCTTTATTACCATTTTAAAATAAATTGAGTAAAGTTTCTTAAGAGAAGACTATTTTATATTAGATTGAGAAATAACATTTCTCAATGTTATTTTTCTTTAAATAAATATGTTTGTGTTAATAACAGGTGAGTGGTTAATAGTTATGCATATGATTCATGGAGCAATGTGTTTTATCCACTCAGGTGGATAAACAAATATGCCTGCATTATGTTCCAAGTCCTATGTAAGGTGTCAGAAACTCCTTGGAGAATTCATAGTCTTGTTTGGGAGAATGCCAAAGAGCTACAATACACTGTAGCAAGCGCAATAATGATATTGATAATTGCAATATCAATTAATGTTTATCCAGCCATTCATTCAAATTGTACTAAGAGAAATCACCTGTGTCTAATTTAATCTTCACAACGATCTATGTAGTACTGAAATCTACTTTCCATAGGAATAAAATATTTTGAGGTGGGTAAATAGTTAGTTCAAATAGTATTTAAACTAAGGATTAAACTAAATACAAAAATGTTAAATTATTGAAAGGTTAAATAAATACAGTTTAAAATTTTTATTTATTAATGATATGTAAGATCAAGTGGAAAAGAAGTGATAGTTAAGGATTAATTGGTTATTATAGAGCCGAGATGATGCTTGAGCATACCTATGAAGATCACTGTCACTGTCACTGTCCTCCCGTTGTTCATCAATTTGCTTGAGCAGGCCCAGTAACATCTCCATTGTGAGACTAGTTACTGTGTTTGGCATATTGAATGCATCACGGGGAGTTTGCCAGGCTTTGCCGTGCAGGTGAAATACTCTTGACAGCTTGCCGAGATCTCCGAGAGGGGCCGAGGAATTGAACCTGGTAGGCTGAGTTGGCCGCATGCAAGGCAAACGCCCTACTGCTGTGTTATCGCTCCAGCTACATGGTCCCTTGAGCACCCCTGGGTGTGACTCCAGATTATGAAGATAAGAATATAGAAACAGGTCCTAGCATTTTTTATATTGGGTCTGCAAATAATTTACTTACCTTTTCTCTCACCTGCTTGAAAGTAAGCCTCAGATCCTAAGCTTTGGCCTACACTAAGGTTACCACCAAAAGCTTAATTCCAAAGGAAAATACTACCCATGTAACTATGTTGTAAGTGGCTTCTTCTCTCTTCTCATTCTGTATCATCTCATATAAGCTAAAATCAATTTCCTTTCCTAGATAAGTAGTCTCTAAGTTTTTTCTCCACTTGCTTTACATTCTAAGTTTGTAAGATCCCTAGTAGCTTTACATGTAGTAATGAATTTCATCTTCATATCAAACCTCTGTTATATTTACTGTTTTTGGCATATCAAATATGCCATGGGTAGCTTGCCAGGCTCTGTCGTGTTGGTGGATTACTCTCGGTAGCATGCCAGACACTCTGAGAGGGATAGAGGCTTTTAGAGCGGTCTCTAATCGTCCTTGCAGGTGTTCCCATGGTTCAAACCATATTTGAACCCCATCAAATATGGTGCAGTAACCTTGGAAGATGGGCATTAATTGTCTTATGATGTGTCGCTCAGATGCTTTGCAGTCTGGATAGCAGCCTGGAGCGTGGCAGTGGCTGGGTAGTGGAGGTAGTGAATATAAACAGTAAATATAATGGGTCTCATTACCCTGACTCTGAAAGTGCCCCCAATATGGCAGCTTTAAGAAGGATGAGGACAAAAAGGCCCATAAAATCTCAAGGCTGAACTAGGCTGTCAAAACGAAGAAGGACTAAAATGATTGTGTACTTTCAATGCACGTACACTGGCATTGGATGCATCCATCGAGGACCTGATGGTGCATGTGTGAAGGATCAAGTACAACATCATTGGTCTGACCAAGATGAGAAGGCATCAACCACATTAGGCCATTTCTGACACTGGAGAAGAACTATTCCTTGGAACATGTGACTAAAGAGGCATCGGTGGTGTTGATGTCCTTGTCAACACAAACTTGTCCATGTGTAGTGATTCATTTGAATGCCTAACAACTCGAATCAGATAATTATACTTGAATAGATGTGGCTCACTGCAGCAGTTTATATCTTCGTTGTCTACCCACCAACATCCAATTATGAGGAAGAAGAAATTGAGAAGTTCTACATGGAGCTGGAGAAGTTCCATAAAGAAGGACACACCTTCTACAAGATCATTATTGGTGATTTTAATGCCAAGACAGGACCAAGAAGATCAACTGAAGAACTCCACATTGGGAACCATGGCCTAGAATGGAACGAACAGGGTGAGAGATCGTCTGAGTTCATCATGTCTACCAAGACCATTTGTGGTAACTCACAGTTCCAGAAGACCAAATCTAAACATTGGACATGGGAGTCTCCTGGTGGGTGGTTCCACAATGAAATTGACCACATCATATTCAATCGACAGTTTTGCCTGTCCGATGTCACTGTTATCCCAAAACTCTAAACGGGATCAGACCACCTTCTTCTTCATGCAAAATTCTACTTCACAGAGCGGGAAGAAAGGGCTGCAAAGTTTAAGAAGAGAACTCCCAGAACGACCACCAACTGGGGAACTCTTTGGCACTTGGCAAACATGGGAAGATGCCATTGTTGACAACGTTGACGAAGAATAGGATCGACTGGTTCAGCACCTCCATGATTCTGCGAGGAATGCCGAGAGAGATAGACACAAAAAGACTCCTGTCTTCGAAAACTCTCAAGCTCATTTGCCAACGTGGCTTTGTGCAAGCCTCAGGCAACCACAAGTGAATATCCGAGCTTGCTAAACAGTGCAGAGAACTGATAAAGGAGAACCTCAAAACCTCAAACTACACCACCTCCGCTTCACTGATGACTTCGTTCTAATAACACCAAACATTAGCCAAGTGCCACCAATGCTGGCCAACTTCAACTGTGAGTGTAGAAAGGTCGGACTACAGCTGAATCTCATGAAGACAATGTTTATGAGAAACAGATTCATTCCTGACATCCCTTTCACTCTCAATTGAATGAACATCTCCAAATGCAACAGTTATGTATACCTAGGTCGAGAACTCAACATGACTGATGACCTGGCACCTGAGTTGTGCAGGAGGAAGAGAATGGCTTGAAATGCCTTCAAGAGCATCGACGAAATAGCTAAGAGGTTGAAGAACCTCTGGCTCTGGGCACATCTCTTTGATTTCACTGTTCTTCCTGTATTAACATACATCTCAGAGACTTGGTCCCTACGAAAACAGGATGAAAATACTATTCGGGTCTTCTTTCGATTCCTTCCCAAAGAGGAATCAAAAGAGCTATGCTTGGAGTATAATGCTTCACTCAAGTGAGAGAAAGAATCCGGAGTTCCAACCGTTGTCAATGATCAAGAATCAGGGATGCTGTCTTGTTTACCAAGGCATTGAAAATCAGATGGGCTGGACATGTAATGCAATTTGGAGATGATCACTGGACTCAAACCATTGCCAACTGGATTCCACGGGGTGTCAAAGATCGTGTGGCCGCCCACCTACGAGATGGTCAGACTTCTTTGTCAAGACCCTGAATGATCCGTCTGAGGCTGTTCATGATCCTGGAGTGAGCAGACGCCATTGGGCTACACTAGCATGCGGCAGGGATGAATGGAGACATTACTGGTGCCTGCTCCAAAGAGTAAAGGGATGTCAAATGATCGATCAAGTGATCAAACCTCTGAAGGTTTTAATATTAGATGGTTTTTCAAACCAGAAACTTAGTAAAAGAGAGATGAGGAACATGTCTAAGAGAACTAGAATTCAAACCAGAGCAGAACCTAAGGCTGAACTGGAAATTAGAGAATAAAGCAAGTATGGTAAACATGAAAGCAATTCATTTCATAGAATAAATTATTCATTAAAACACTTAAACATTAGCTTAATTGGTTGATAGGATAGATAAACTTTATATACATCAAGTAAAATTGTACAAGATTGCTGTAACACAGGGTAATTCAATGTTCTAACTTGTAAAACACTCAAACAACAATGAACTCTGAATGTTCACTTTAAATTGTTGTTCAAAGAGAAGAAAAGCAATTAAGAAATACAGGTTGTAGGCAAGTATTGGAAGCATTAAGGCTCATTTGTACACGTGTTTGCTAGATAATTCTCATATCACATAAAGACAATCAGATAAAAATAATTAAGTGATTAATTTTAGAATTGGATATGGTTTCACTCCACTGTTCTGCTTATCTGAATCTTCCCTGTAAAGTAGAACAATTATGAACCATTAAATAAACAAATATTAAGTTGCAAGGGAATTTTCATTTTGCTCAATAAAAATACCTCAGTACAGTCTTCGTTTTTGCTGATGGCAGTAGCTCTATCTGTGTATCATTCATAGCTTCTCTATCTTCTAAAATCTGTATGGAATCCTGTAGTGAAACACACCCATAAATATGTAGATTAGATGCATATAGAATTGAAAATTGGAATACAATATCGTCTCAACCTGAGTGCATAAATGGTTATACTCTGCTTGAATACAGTATGCTCTAGCAAGACTAGAAACAGGTGTTAATCTTTTCCATATTTTCACTGTTCTTTTCCTTCCCTTTTGACTTCTTAAATACTCAAATGGGCTGTTTACACAAAGCAGTGTGTTAAGAGATTTGGAATACATCATTTAGCTTCTTGCTACTCAGTCATAAGCTTATGGGACTAAGACTTTTAAATTAAGGGGGTACCAATGGGAGGCGCCATTGACAGGTGGTGATGTATTTAGCCCTAAGAAACTGTACTTACTTGCACCCCTGATGACACTAAAAATATAAAGAAAGAAAAGCCATTTTTTAAAGAAAAATTGCCTGGCAAGGTCACTCTGTCAAAAGCGTATAGGGATATTGCAGGAAAATAAATCTGGTGTACCTTGTTTTGAGACTGTGATTCTGAGGATAATCCAGAACAGAGAAACTAAAATTAACCATTTATATTCTAAAATGAATACTTTCTACTATAGTTAGAAGGTCAGAGAGGGCCTCTCCTTTAAAACAGTGAATAGGTTAAATTGGATAGAATATAGTGGAGAAAGGGGCTTTAGAAAGCAAATTGGACATATTTTATGCAAGATCCAATTGTTCTCTGATCAGCTCTGGAACTGGACTAACTGTAACTGCGGAAATAGTCACATACACATTGTGGTCTCAGGTCTCACAGATTCACAAACCACATGGAAAATGCCCCATTATTAACAATCACACCTGTAAACAGGGCATTTTGTAAATCAAAATGAATCATTTCATTATAAAAGATAATATGCTAAGTGATTTAACATAAAATAATTTGGTTAATATTTTTAAAATATAAAATAACAACTCAAGAAGTTTTTCATATAAAAGTGAATACTGGTAAACTTTCATTCAGATAGGTGTAACGTCCTTCCATATAGGGATTAGTTTTGTCATGGCTTGTCTATATTAGATTTTTTTAAAAATGTTTTTTTCTCTCCAGTGGAATCAGAAAGGGAAGAAAATCCATAAAGTTGGAGAACACCTTTTAGATTGAAGTATCGAGTATCTTTTAAAGAGCCAGGGAGACAGCTCAAAAAGAGCTAGGTAGTACAGTGGGTTGGGTGCTGGCCTTGCACATGACAGATCCAGGTTCGATCCCCAATATCCCATATGGTCCCATGAGCCCACCAGGAGTGATTCTTTAGTGCAGATTCAAGACACTGCTAGGTATGACTCTTAAACCCCTCCAAAAAAAGAAAAGAAAAGAAAAAAAAACAGAGCCACAGAATATGCCTACCATGTTTGGGCTCTTCTAGTTCATTTCCTGGTACCGCATAGCCCCACATTGCACAGTCATTCTGAAATAGCCCTGACTGTCCCAGCACTGACCTCATTAACATTACTACGACTGATAGAAGCAGCTAAGTCAAAATCAGTGATAGTTGTCCCTTAAATCTCAAGCAGAGGCGAGGAGACCCCCTTTCCCCACTACAAAAAAGGTCTTTGAAGAGTTTGAACATTCATATTATTCTAAAGGGCTTCATATATACTTTCAGAGAAGAGATACAGGGTTGTTCTGATTACAGAAAGAGGTATTAGACACTTTTTTTTTCTTTTTGAGTCACACCCGACAATTCACAGGGGTTACTCCTGGCTCTGCACTCAGGAATTACTCCTGGTGATGTTGGGAAACCATATGGGATGCTGGGAATCAAATCCAGGTTGGCTGTGTGCAAGGCAAATGCCCTACCCGCTGTGCTACAGCTCCACCCCCAGTATTAGACATTTTTACAAAAATATTTGAACTTGTCACATGCACATGTGAGAATATTTGATGGGCACATTTAAGTCAAAGTCATGATTTCCTTATCTGACTCTCTTATGTAAAGAGTGAAGCCCACGAAGGATGAGGATATGCCTGGTTCTCTCTTTTTTAGCACATAATGCACAGTTTGTTAATGAATGCATTTGGATGAATAAACCAAATGACACTGTTCTACTTTTGAATGTAGCGTAGTAAATTATTCTAAATGTAATGGATTTAATGAGAGCACTAGTTCTGGTAGTTCCAATGAGTCAGATTCAGAAGTGACTTGAGGCATTTCTGAGGAGGAATCCCTCCTAGGAGCTGCAATAATCATTTAAAGCCTGGTGGAGCTTTCTAGCTCCTTTTCCCTTAGAAAGACTTTATTAAGATATTCAAATACAACATTAAATACATCCCTTTTAAAGGTATAATTTAGTCATTTAAAGTATATTCATAGCTTTGCAAATAATTACCACTAATTTTGGGATATTTAAAAAAATTCTCCAAAGAGATCTCATACTCTTTAGTCATTACATACATTTTTTCCTGCCCCCCCCATACAACAGGTGGCAATAATTAATCCATTTTCTGTCTTTAAGAATAGCGTATTCTGAACATTTTATGTAAGTAGAATGATAAGATTTATAGATTTTATCCCATATTATGTTATGAAACCTTAGCCATATTATCATATATACTTAATATTCCATCTTGTTTGATGGTCAAATAATATTCCATTGTAGAGATAAGTCACTTTCTTGATTTATTCATAAACCTGATGGCATTTGGTTGATTTCATTTTACATATTATGAGATAATGCTATGGATACTTAGACTAATGTTTAATTATCACACAATTTTGCTAAAAATAAGATCTCTTTGTAGACGTATATTTTCAGTTTTTTCAGGTATATGAATAAAAGTGTTTTCGGTCATGGTACAATTCTTGGTATCACATTTTGTGGAATATTATCTAGTATATTATCTCCACCATGACTCTGCAATTTTACATTCTTATCAGCAACAAAGGCGGGTTCTCATCTCCCTAAATTTCTGTCAACACTTACTACTTTTCTTTAATAAATTTTGTTATCTTTATGATTGTGTAGTGAATTTTGTTTTGGATCCATCTAGTGACAATGACTAATGCTTTATATTTTCATAATATCTAATGATATTGATCACCTCTTTGTGCTGTTATTGAAAATTTGTTATCTTCCTTGAAGAAATATCAGAATGTATTTGGCTTTTTGTTAGTGTTAAGAGCTTTTTAAAAAAATATTTGGTACACAACTACTTATCAAATACATGAAATAGAAGTCTATTTTTACATTAAACAGACTATATTTCAGTTTCTTAATGGGCCCTTTTAAGAAAAAAAAATGTTCTATGTAAAACTTTCATCAAGGAAGTGCAACTTCTTTAAGCCTAATCATTATTAACATTCTTCTATTTTGTATCCTTGCATTTATGTGTGAAATTTATGAATAATTTTGTCAACTTATGCAAAATATTAGGCTGGATTCTTTTAGAAGTATAAATGTTGAGTCTGAGGTCAGTTTTGAGAGTCACTCTCAGTGTCCTCCCATTGTTCATTGATTTGCTCAAGCGGGCACCAATAACGTCTCACAACAAATTGTGAGACTTGTTGTTACTATTTTTGGGTAGTGTGCCAGGCTTTTCTGTGCAGACTAGATATTCTTGGTAGCTTGCCAGGCTCTCTGAGAGGGGCGGAGGAATCGAACCCGGGTTGGCCACATGCAAGGCAGAAACTCTACTAGCTGTGTTATCACTCCAGCCCAGTTTTGAGAGTAGTATAACTTAATAACATAAATTCTTCTAATATTCAAACCATAAACAATGCCATTAATTAAAAATTTTGTTTTGGGTTTGTAATTCTATACATACCTGTAACTAGGATTGTTAAAGGAAAAGACATTTGTTTGCCCTGCCACAGAGGCAGGGGGGGATGGGGGATGGGGGTGGGGGGGATATTATCCATGGTGGTGGAAAATGGGCACTGGTGGAGGGATGGGTATCTGATCATTGTATAATCAAACCCAAGCACAAAAAATTGTAAATCTACAACTGTACCTCATGGTGTTTCACTAATAAAAAAAAATTTAAAAAAAAAAGGAAAAGACATTTGCAATAAAATCTTAAGATAAGAAAGTGACATACTTTCTGGTTCTAACTAGTTTCATTAAAAAAATTGGTCTGATACAATATACTACTTTGCTCTGGGTAATTCTTATTTCAGTAGAACACTAAAGCAATCGTGTAAATAACTATAAACATTATGCCTGTAACAAAAGCATTTTTATTTTTTTTCTTAAATTATTTTGGTTTGAGGCCACACCCTGCAGGACCCAATGCTTATTGCTGGCTTTGTACTCAGGGATCATTCCTGGCATGTCTTAGGAGGTCATATAGTGTCGGGGATTGAACCTGGGTTGGCTGTGTGCAAGGTAACCTTCGAATTCACTGTATGTATTTCCCTACCCTCTGCTCTATCTCTCTGGTCTCAACAATATTATTATTTTAAAAGTAACATCAGAAATTCTTTGCCTTGTCACTGTTATCAAAAGGAAGACAATCTATAGTTTATCATGTCAACTAATGGGCAGTATTTGTCACTGGCCAAAATCATTTCTAGATATTGCAGTAACAGAATTCTTTGATATTCTCTAGAGAGAAAACTGTCAGACTGATACTTAAGACAACCCTAGAAGGGCACAAAACCAATTCCAAATTGACTCAGCAGCATAACAGCAGAACAGTATGTCAATATTTATGGGCAAAAGAAGCTTATTCCTTAACAAGATACATAAAATTATATTCTACAAATATTAAAAATAATTGAATAATTTAAGAGCACTTAGACTTTTGCTTTATTTAATCACACAGTGAAATGAAGAGTCATGAAATCACACATCTCTGAAACTGAAGAGAGATGTTTTACTCATAGCTCATTTAAATAACTGAGAAAGACTCAGAATCATGACTTTTAAATTTAGAAATTAAAAGGGCAAAAATATCCATTAATGAAAAACTAGTTATATACAACTCCTGTTGAACTTTTCTTTCTTCAGCTTTTGCATTAAGATGTATTAATTGT